CCTTGAGTAATGTTAACATGTATTTACTTTAAAAAATGTCTCCACATTTTTTCAGGGCAAATTCATCTGCTCACATGTAGATTATATTACCCCTTCTCCCTCATTACATATAGTTATTCTATAACCATGATAGCAAACATTGACACATTACAAAGTAGACTTCCTGTTTTTCTTATCAACTTTCTTTGATTTAGTCCCTATAATATGACCCAGACAGGAAATTCAGGGGGAATTCAGGAGGAGAGCAGTGCCTTCATAGAAACACTGTTGGTTTTCCAGATTCAAGTAACAGCACCTTAGTTAATGGTCCAGAAATTACTAATATGTACAGACCACCTGCAAAGTTTTCCTAATCTTGTGTGGTAACTCATACGATGGCATAACTTTTACAGTTACAAATTGTCAAAATTAGTGGTACATTCTAATTTTTTGAAATGAAAAATACTATTAAGTGTGTATAAGTTGAAACTCAAAACCAGACCCCCGCCCCTGGCAAAAAAAAAAAAAGAAAGAAAGAAAACAACAACAAATTCCTAGGTATTCCCCTATTCCAATGACAATGGGTAATTCTGCACACAGAAATCTCCATGTGTCTCAAAAGTGAGAATAGGAAAATAGTTTCTTAAACTATGTGTGTGTATGTGTATTAATAGTTTCTTATACTTTTTCAACCAAATACATAAATTATTGCCAGGATTAATAAGAATAGATGTATAGTGCTACACATTCATTTGAAATTTGATTTTTCTCCCTGAAATTAGAGTTCAGTGAAAGTAGCTGAAGCACTTTTCATATTATACTTCATCTGGTCTGTCTCATTTTAACACCCTGATATATGGCTTGGTACAATCATGTCTTTAAATTTAAAAAACTTCCTTCTTCAACTTGAGGTACTCATCTTAGAACTTTATAGCTGGATAGATTTGAACTTTAGCATTTTTTAGACATCTGGACAGAAAAAGTAACTTGTCCTATATGGCTCAGAAAGCAGTTGCTGAAAGTGAGAAGGTATGTTTTTAATACTTTTGGCCCTAGATAAATAGTAATTTCAAATTGGTACAAGATGCACAATGACTTTTAGGTGTCATGACTGAAATACATCATCTAAATACATCTGGTTTATCTTTAAACAATTTCACTTATGGACGATTCTCATTTTATAGGAAGGGCAACTGAGACATTCTCTGATTAATTTGTTTTTATACACAAAGGAACAAAAATTTTAGGGTCTTTCAGGTGATAAAATCTTTAACTTCTAAAATTATAATTAATTTAATTATGAATACCAAGTATTCCACCCATATCCATTCCATCAAAAATATAAGGTTGCCACATTGGAGTGTGGTACTAGTAAGTGTTCTTTTATAGAAATGAAATCCTTTTACCCGGTCTGGGTGGGGCTGCTTTCCAGTTGCTGCTCTGGTTTGCCAGGTAGCCAAACAGCATGTGGTAGAGGGGAGCCTCCAATGATACCTGGCAACCTTACTAGGGGAAAGCTGGATATGGCCTTCTTAAGGCTATAGAGTAGGGCCAGGATATAACCCTGACAGTTGCAGGAAGAGATTCCTAGGAAGTGGTAATATCTATTTTTTAGTTATTTTCCCTCTATCTTTAAACATACCCAGCACTCTTTTCAAATTGAGTTTTGAAAAAAGTACAGAAAATTCCTTGACAACAGGAAAAAGAGCTGGAGGGACACGAATATTCAGTATGGCATTAATTCCTTCTGGTCTTCATGTTCTGATTTAGAGCTTATCTGCCCTTTCATTCTCTTGGTAGTTCTCCATTCTTTCCAGTGTGGCCTCAGTGTCACACTTCTTTCCCTTTTTTTCTTAGCCATGTTCTTATCTCATTTGCCTTTGCAGAATTCTACTCTTAGCTTTGACAACTCTGGTCTCATGGCATCTTACTCTTTGTGCTGCTTGGCACTCACTCCTTCCCAGATCCCTGGCTTCACTCTTGGTTTTCATGTGTGGACGTAACAATGGCTATTGTTTATCACCCATTTCTAAGTACCCAGGCACTTAAAAATATTATTTTATCTTTAGACAATTTCACTTATGGACAATTCTCATTTTATAGGAAGGGCAACTGAGACATTCTCTGATTAATTTGTTTTTATACACAAAGGAACAAAAATTTTAGGGTCTTTCAGGTGATAAAGCTCTTTTTCTTCTAAAATTATAATTAATTTGAATTAGAAATTCAAATTGAAAAAGTAAAGTTAACTTGAATTCTTTCCATGATGATCAGTTGGCATAAAAGAACTATAGAGATATTTACAGATGAATGAATTTTCAAGATCCAGGTAACTCAAAATGAACTTGTACAAAATAGACTTAAAATATCATTATCACTAAGTACAGAGCATGATTACATTATATAAAGTAAATGGTTTTTTCTCTAATTTTACCCCTAAAATTTATTCATCTTAGCTGTCCAGAGTTCTTTTTGTTACTTGAACTGCTAATCGAATACTACATTTCTAAAGCCTCAGGTGAGATTTCATTTGCTAGAACTAAATCAGAAAGAGCAGGACTGATTGCCTGGTGCAGTGCACACACCAGAATCCCAAGGATCTGGAGGCTGAGGCAGGAGAAACACAAGTTCAAGGCTAGCCTTGGCAACTTAGTGAGACACCCTGTCTCAAAATTAAAAGGGCTGGGGATATATATACACACACAAACATACATACATATATATATATATAAAACAAAACACCAGGACTTACCTAAAGACTTGTTTGACAACACAGGAAACATTGTAGAAGTAGAACATGGGACATATCACATTCTGCATTTACATAGGTGTTCCCATTTTCTCCTTTTCCTGATCTGAATTTAATCCTCTCTCTTCAATCTAGCCAGGCCTTAAGTCATTTCTGGGAGTCCTCCTATGATTTAACCTCTTCCTGGTAATTGCAGTCTCCTTGTAGCATTCAGTCTTTTGTCTTTACAATTTTGTACATGACAGACTGTTTTATAAAATATTCTTGTTATTTCATTGTGTATTGTCTTCAGAACAGCTTAAACAAGAAGTCTTTTGAGGATCAGGTATATATCCTCATTCTGTGGTGACCCTCCTTAGACGACCCTGTGTAATGCCGATGACCTCTCAGCTAATACAGAAGGTTTAATACAGAGTTACCCCAGAGTAAGAGAGAATTGCCTTTTTTTTTTTTTTTTTTTTTTTTTGGTACCAGGGATTGAACTCGGGGGCACTCAATCACTGAGCCACAATCCAGCCCTGTTTTGTATTTTATTTAGAGACAGGGTTTCACTGAGTTGCATAGTGCCTCGCTATTGCTGAGGCTGGCTTTGAACTCAAGATTCTCCTCCCTCAGCCTCCCGAGCCACTGGGATTACAGGCATGTGCCACTGTGCCTGGCTTGGACATTAGATTCTTAACCCCTTTACTGCAAGGTGGCATAATTTCAAGTAAAAAGCCCAGATTACAATGGCTAGAGAAGGAAATCTGACTTCTTTTTGCTAAAGGAGAACCCATTAAGTGAAGGGAAAAGACAGTTGATGTAGTTCAGTTGACTTTCAATTAAACTCTGTAGCTCAATTTGCTGGCTACCAAACAAGTTAATAAGTGGAAATGGTTTTCCATGCAGGGTAGTTTGATTTTCAAAAGAAGTATTGATAATTCAGGAAATAGGACATTATAATTTCTAGATCAGCCCCAAACTCTAGGAATCAAGGAAGAGAGAATTTTGGATAACATGATTATTGTTCCTGTTAGATCCACTGTTTGTGGTTAAAACACACTTCATAAAAACAGATAAGCTCTTTCCTTGATCTAAGAATGAAACATCTCTTTGGAGATATAAAAACCTAAGTAGCCCTCTGCATTCTTCCTAAAATGATAAAGATATTTCCTTATTTCAAAACTCTCACTTGAAATGGAAGTAGCATTGAACACTCCAAATGCAAATGACATTGCTTTACCCTTTGTAAATGGCTAAAACCAGTCAATACTTGCAAGGTACGTATGACATTGGCTGGTGCTGGGCTTACTCTGAGGTGTGGTGTTTCAAGGAAAGTGTAGAGAATTGTTTACTGGATATCAGGAATAGGGCATGGGCTTGTTCAAAATGGCAGTTGAACACATCTTTAGATTACTGATGGAGAATATGCCAGTGGAAGAAGAGGAAGAACACAGCTGTGTGAACAGATGAAGGTTGGAATACTTTCAGATCTTGTCCAAATGTATTGAGTCATTCTACTTGTTTATTTTTACTTTTGTGTTCTTTATTTGGAAGTGGCCAGCACTTTTATATCTGTTGGTATTTGTAATGTTAGCAGCCTCTAGTATTTTCTAGAATGGTGCCTTTCAAACTTTTCTGATTACAGTAAAAAATAATTTTTCATAACCACTTAATATATGTATCTGATATTTTCTAGACTAATTTTTTTCATTTAAAAAATGTTGGTTAGGTGTTGGGGATGTTTTAGAGCACATGCCTAATGTGTGTAAGGCCCTTGGTTGGATCCCCAGGATGGAATAAAAATAAAAAACCCAATAACAACTGGTTATGACTCATTAACTACTTTTCAAAAAAAGGTCTTACGTCTTGTTTTGCTGCACATATTTGTGTTATTTTCATTTCTTATTGTTTTTTCCTCCTCTATATCTAATAGCTCAGCATGCTGTTTTTGTAGCTGGCGCCATTATAGTTTCAACTGCTACTTTAAAATCTGAAGTGTATCTATAGCGCTTATCAGCCTTGCATGGTCTCATCTACTAAGATTTTATTTTCTTTTGTTGGCATCTAACTTCTGTTTTTCACAGTTCAGACTTTTCATACATAAAAAACAAAGAAATTTTTTGAAATGATTACCAGCTTACTATTTTTAGTAATCAATTGAAGTAGGACTTCTTCTCTTTGAAAATATAGCTAACTGTGCTGTTGCAATTTTAAAATTTATAACTTACTGAAATGGGACATGAGAAGTACAAATATGCTTTTTCATAAGTGTGTTTAAGCGATATCAGAAGCTTCTTAAAATCAGGTTATCTTTATTAAAAATAGAATACAAAATATGTCAGAATCCAATAATTATGTGTCATCATGTTTATCCCCTAAGTTCTAAAGAAAAGAGCTAATTATTTCAAGGGAGGTAAGAGCAAAATTTTAAGTTAGAATTATACATGTAGTATATGTAGACTTGAGTTTATTCAATATTGGTGGCTTCAGTATGTTCCTCCAAGTTTTCAACCATTAATAACCCAAATCGATTGCTTCCCTCATACAAGCATCGGGGATCTGAGGCAGTTCCCACTCTGTTCTTTGACCAGGTGGTACCCTTTTTCTTCTTTCTTTTTTTTTTTGAATTTAATTTACCCTTTGGTAAGAAGAGTTCAGCTGGGGCATATGACTTTGTGGCATTGAACAGGTGTTCATAAAGTTGCTTAGCCTCAGGACACATGCTCAGGAGACTTTCTACAGAGGCTGATGTTAGCAGTTGTTGGCATAGTCCATGCACCAGGCTTCCACTATACAGTCTGTACAGTGGGGAAAAAAAAAAAAAAAGTATGGTTGTAAAGCATCAGGTTAGTGCAGTGGGTMAGGTATGATTAACATGGCTTCAATAAATTTTTATCAACACTGAGAGCTCTTACTGTTTTTCTAAAATTATTAAAATAATTTCAGAATTATCTTGTTCTTTGTTGAAAGGAACTTAGTGATTAAAAAATTACTGGCTGGTGATATATAAAAACTTTTTATTAACAAATTATGATTACTGGTTTTGCAACTAACCCCAAATAGGCCTCTTTATCACTTCAAAGAAAAGGAATTAAAATGACCTTGATAAGCCAAACAGGCAGTTTGTTAAAATTCTTGAAAATTGTAATGGCATAAGTTGCAAGGTCATTCACTTGGACTAAAATCCCACTTCACAAATAGAAGATGGGATTAACTGGAACTCTCAAATTGAATATATGACTTAGAGTTGATCAACTGGTGCCTTGTCAACCAATGTAGAACCAACATTTAACCAGAGTAAAATCATTTAAAATAAAGCCTTGATTATGCTGAGGTGCAGGAACAATCTCCTGCTGAAATCATTATTAAGAGAACTGTTTGGTCTTGTTTTTCCTGTTGTTGTATAGGGAATCTGTGGTAGCTAGAGAGGATCCAGTAAAGAAATGACTTAAATTATTAAAGGAAAGGAATAAAAAAATCCAAGTTCAAAAACCAATTAATTTTACTTGGTAGTGGGTTTTTGGGTTAGCTCAGATGAGGCCCAGAGATTTTAAGGACACTTATTTATTGCTAGGAAGCTTTTTATCTTGAAACATCTTCAGAGTTACACCATCATATTTTGTATACCTCCTAAATTATCACTCAAAGTGCAGGGTACTAGGGCTACAGTCATAAATAGTCAAATCCCTGCCCTCATAGAACTTACACATTGTTTTCATTTTAAAAATGTTGGTTAGGAGTTGGGGATGTTGTAGATTCAATTTCAAATACTCTCATTTCTAACCATCACCTTTTCCTCCTCCTTTCTTCCTCTAGCACCTCCCAGAAGGGTAATTACAAAGATGTCCAATCCCTTAATCATAGTTTTTTCACTGGCTGAAATCCTACTGCTATCATTTCTTCTTTCCCAGCTTAAAACTCCAGAGTCAAATATAATACTACTCTGAGGAACACAGGCTCAACTCCCTTACTGCCTCTCCTGTCTTCATAATTATTTGACAGGACACAAACCCTAAATGACGTCTAATAATCATCTCACTAGAATAAAAGTTTCACAAGAACAGAGATTTTTGTTGTTTATGAAACCTTAACACAAAGTAGGCAGTTAATAAATACTGGAATGAATGAGTAAAGATTATGACAGGTGGTAAGAGATGCAATTTTAAAAGTCTCATAAAATAACAAACTAGGGTGACTGGGGATACAGTAATATTTCAGTAGTGTCATAAGAAGTAGCTTCTATAAAGTAATAAACACCTGAAGGGAATAAGTTCTATTCTACCAATAGCTGCCTCTCTTTCCCCAGTGATTTTTATTCATTGGATCTGATCATGAAAACATGCTTTGGGAATATGAAAATAACAATGTTTTTCCTGTTTCCAGCTCTTCAGTGATAAATGTGATCCAAGATCAATTCTACTAAGAATAACTTTTTAAAGTAACTTCTTTATTTTAGATATAAATAAGAATATTCACTTTTGTATGTATCCATCTGAACTAAAGTTTCCCATGATGCTTACCGAGTTAGGTCTGGCTCTGGGAGAGGAGTGGACAGCAGCTGGTTGAGATACATCCCCATCTGGAGACAGGACTGCCACTGACAGAAGATGTGAGCTGTGTCTAAATCCAGTCTCCGGCCCGGCCACGTCAGCTTCTTCACTCTTTGGAACTCTTCATACAACATCTTAGCACCACCTTCCTGCAGCTCTTCTTTACCTAGACAAAGAATTCAAGGCAGTATTTTCCAAAAATAGTGCATCAGCCTGACATTTTCTTCACATATAAAATTTCAGATTCCACTAAGAAGAAAATTAATTTAAAAACCTAACTTGTCTTTCTCTTCTGGCTTCATATATACCTTGCTGTATAAAATTGAAATATTTATACTCAAGTAACTTTTTAATGATAACCTAGCTTTCTTCAACCCTAAATTATCTTTTCCTTGAAGTAATATCTCTTCTGCTGATCTGTTACCTGATCTTAAACATGTCTGCATGTGAACTCTCCAAATTCTGTCTATGGAAACAAGTGACTATTAAACAACATTCTCTTTACTTTTCTCTTTCACTAATCTTCCTTTCACAGAAACCTCATGCTGTAGTGCACTTGTTTTAAAGAAATAGCTGTGTCCAAAACACTTTTACCTGCTTTATGAGACAAAAGCAAAAGTGTGACTCGGACTTTGACAAAAAGCTTCTTTATGGGGCAAGAATGCTGCATGTGTTTAGCTCAATGTTTCTATGTAGGTTTGAGTGGAGATGTGCAAAACGACAACTGGACCAAATTTAAAGTAATAAAAAGGCCCACCTTTTACCAATTATCAAGCAGCAAGGCACTGAGCCTGCCAGCGTGCAGGGTTCACATTTCCTAAAAGAAAAGAAATAGACCCTTGACATATCCCTTCAGTAGGACTCAGGTAAAAATGTAATAGTTTGTACTCTGAGAATTTTCTTTACTGTATTATTCAGAAAGGAACAACCCTCAACTTTTATTCTTATTAAGCAGTTTGTTATGTTGGTTGTCATATATCCAAAGTCTCTCTGATGGCTATTGTCACACTTGAGTCTCTTAATACTTGGGGTGTTTTTGGAGTTCATGCTGTTTTACTCTTCTCATTTAACTTATTCTTTTAAAAAATAAACTGCAGAGTAGTGCTATCCAGTAAAACTTTCTGCAGTTATGGAAATGTTCTAAATCAGTGCTAACACAGTATCCTGTATCCACAAGTGGTTACTGAGCACTTGAAATGGGGCTAATGTGATTGAGAAAGTTGAATTTTTAACTTGAATTTAACCTTAGATGGCTGGTAGCTGCCATATTAGTACTGTTTTATGTATGAAAATTTCATACTTGTTTAGATAGTATTACAGCATTCATAATCTTACAGGGAATTTTGCATTAACGTACTATGGTGTTTCAATGCTTGAACACTTATTTCACCAGATAAATGCAGATGAAATTACCTCAGTATATTTCTGTAGTAGAAATTGAAGGGTTTTTTTTCCTAATTAAACTCACAGTAGAGGGAAAAAGATTTTTTTTTTTTAAAGCACAAACATGAATATTTACTGTGGTTGTAGGTATTCAGAAATTTGACTTTCAGTAATTTTAATTAAGCTTCCTGTGAAGGTGTTGCTGTATTAAAAATGGGGTGGGAAGCATGGACTCAAAATGCAACTGGCAAAACACAGTCACCCTTCCCTAAAGCATTAGGTGCCTTTAAAGTAGTAAAAAGGCCCACCTTTTACCAATTATCAAACAGCAAGGCACTGAGCCTGCCAGGTTGCAGGGTGGGATCAGGCAGTGTCAACACATACCAGCTGTATATTTGGGAGTCAAGCCCCTGGCACATCACATGGAAGCACAGCACACGGAAGCGTTTAGAAATATTTATCAATGAACAAATGACATTTTGGTGCCTTTAAGTCTGATGTAATTCATAAGGGTAAATAATTTGGATTTGTGTGAATTCTTGAGTGTACACAGTTGGTAACCAACATGCAAAGACATGCACCTGGAATTTCCAGATACCTACCAGGGCTGTTGATTATGGCATGCAAAGGCCCCATCAGCATCCCCAGCAGAAGGGCTTGTAGATGATGTAGCTTTGCCTTGGCCTCTGCGTGCTGCAACCAGTAGCAACTGACAGCAATAGGCAACTTCAGAGAAGTAGGGATTGGCTCCAGGATGGTCTGTTTCACCTTTAGGGTTTCTAACAGAAGCATCTGCCGCCTAATGAAGGAGACCTGAAAATACACACCAAACATCCTACAAATTACTTTGGGGAATTTTTTTTCCCCTCTATTTTCTTTTTAACAGCAAGAAGAGATTTAATGTCAGCTATGGAACTTATTTCTGAGGAKAAAAAAGTCATCTATACCCAAAACATTGAAAACACTGATTAGATACATAAATGGGTGTGTGGTCTGCTCCCTCTAAAAAGTCTGTTGTTATTGCAGCCTCTCTGCTGCTAAGCACATGCAGTGCGCACATCACTTGGGAAGGCTGCTTGAAATTTGTTCCTCAGACCTTGTCCCCTACTTTGACTGAGTAATTTGGTGAACACAGCAATCTGCACTTTTAACTACTAAGTAGTCCAGGTATTCTGCTTTWAAAAACAGATCAATATTCAACCCTGCTCTTACTTGCTGGTATTTAGGTGCCACTTTCTCCATGATGCCATTCCTAATCACCTACAGAAGACAAATGTTATATGTTATATAGCTTTCTGTTTGAGTCCTGTCTCATGTCCCTTGCCTGCTGAATGTTTTATTGTCTGCTTTTCTCCCATCCTGGGATTATCCAGTGGTGGACAAGGGAGACAGAACTGCACTGTCCTTGCAATAACACACACACACACACACACCCTTTTTTCATGCTTTATAGAGTGTACTTCAAAAAAGTCAGAAGTTAACAGACATGAGGGTTTTGACCTTCTTGTAGAAATAATTTTTACCTTGATCTCAAAAGACTTTGAGAAAAAGATCTTATAAGTCACACTCTTACTAATAAGGACATTAAGACTGTTAAAAGGGTATCTTTCAGGGGAACTGTATAATCAAACTTTAAGAAAATAATTGTATTCCTAGTGTCTGGATGCTGCCATGAAAAGATTTCTTTCTTTCTGGGAGGACAAGATAGTCTTGTACATTTCTTAGCATCTAACACTTTTTATCAGTATTAAGTGTGGCTGACAATTGAGAATGGAATTGTTAATCTGAAAACATCATAACCGACAAAATGGTTTCATCTTCAATGCATGGAGATTTTGAATAGTATGATGATTCTAAGTACTAAGAATTGTTTAAATTAGAAGTATATGAATGAAGTGCTTTCAGTATAACAATAATGCTTGCTAGAAGTAGCATTAATTAAAATAAAATAAAAATACATGTCCCAAACTTTAAAATGCACACAGAACTACATTAATTCTTTTCTGTCATATAATGCTTAAGTTACTCAATTCTCAAGCCAAGTTAGAACTTTTATGAACAAAGCAAAGAATGGGCTTTGATTTCAGAGGTATTCTGCACTCAACTTTGCTTGGTCTGATCATATGTAAAGTAGGCATTATAATGATAGCATCATTGAACTCACCAGTCCTTGGCGCCTTCCAAAAAGGAAACTACTGTGCTCACAGCCCTTTAAAGCTCCTTAGATTTTATTGCATGTGACAACTCCTTTCCCTTTCCCTTGGGGAGTGAAAGCACAGGCCTGCAGAAGCTGCCACAGGAGAGGCAGAAGTATCCAGAAAGAGGCTGATCTTGGTACTGCCTCATACACCAAGAATGATCCACTTCCAAGTTTCCTTGTGATTAACAACCTCCTGTTTTGTTAACTTGAGAGGTGTTCTGTCCACTGCTAACAACTAACATGGTAACCCATGTGGTTTCTGTGGGAATTAAATGAAACATTGTGTAAAGTTTCTATCACAAAAACTGGCACAAAGCAGATAAAGTATTATTAATATAGCATGTTAAAAACAATAATACTTGTACCTGCATTTGTGCTTGGAATCATATTTGCACCTGGTTTAGATTTATCAAGGGCCAATCAGAGCCAAAGGCATCAAGATAAATACAGAATTAATTTCTATGCTAAAAGAAAGCCAGATGACCCAAGAGCACAGAATGAACTAAAATTTCACCCTTCTCTGAGTGCAGGTAAGTTTTAAGAACACTTGTCATTTCACTTGGCAAGGAATATGACCAGCATGCTCTAATGCATTGATTCAGTTGGATTTCCATATGGGTGTCCTGACTGGTTTCACACCACACAAACACACATAAACACAATGAGCTCTGTAGATGATAGATCTAAATGTGAAATGCAGAAAACCATTTTCATGACCTCTGAGAGGCAAGAATTGCTTAAGTATCTCACAAAAGTGGTATCCCATAAATAATAAAAATTTAAATGACTACATTAAGACCTGCTCATTAAAATATAAAAGACAGAATAGATGAGACTATTTGCAAATACTGTATTTGACAAAGGACTGGCAGGCAAAACCACAGACAAACAGCAAAGTATTTGAACAAAAAAAAGAATATCCAGATAGGTAATGAGCCCATGAAAAGGTGCTCAAGTCATCAAAGAAATACAAATTACCCACCTAACTGTCTAAAATGATACTACTACACAACCACCAGAATAGCTTTAAAAAAAAATGTGAAGGACAAGAAAAACATAGTCCCAAGGGTATAAGAAAGAGTTACTCTCTTGCTACTGGTTGGGAATATTAGTTGGTACAATGCGTTGGAATGCTATATAGTAATACTTCTTATACGCTGAACTTCCATATGTGAGGGTATGACCCAGCAAGTTCCTAGTAGTTACATATGCAAACAGAAATATGTCCATTAAATCATGTGTACTGGAATGTTCATGGCACTATTTGAAATAGTCTAACTGGAAACAGCCCCAATGCCCATCACCAATAAAGCAGAAAATTCAATTGTGGTATGTTTCCACAATGCAATGTTTACAGTAATGATAAATGAATGAYCTATAGCTTTTCACAGCGAAACATGTTGATTTAAGGATGAAAGAATTCCTTCATAGTTATGAGTACAATTGCATTGTTAAAAGGTCAGGAGAAAGATTACAGAGGGTGGAAGAGATGGTGACTGGAACCAGACTCTATGGAAAGCTTCTGGGGTGGTGATAGTCATTATTCATTTGGGTTTTCTTTGCATGGATGTATCGATTTTGTGATAAAAAAATCCATCTGTATGACTATCTGTGCACTTTGCTATATGCATATACCTAGGGAGGGAGTAATTACAAAGGGGCAGAGGAAACTCTTTGAGAAGTCGTAGGCACATAAATTGTAGGATGGATTCACAGATATGAACATGTCAATCTTCATCAAAGTGCACACTTTAGATATGTGCACTTCATTGTACATTTATTTTTCAGTAAAGTCATTTAAAAAGTTTAAAAATTGCAAAACTCCAAGGTACTATTTATGTTTGAATAGAAATTGATCTTCAGCAAAATATCATTCTTTAGAATACTTTTGTGTTAGCTTTATGATGCTGTGACCTTTATGACCTGATGAGAGCAACTTAAAGAAGGAAAATTTTATTTTGGCTCATTCATGGTTCCAGAGCTACAGTCCATGATCAGTCAAGTCCACTGCTCTGAGTCCATGGTGAGACAGGACATCATGGCAGAATGTTGTGGCAGACAACCACTGCTCCATTCATGGTGGCCAGGAAGCAGAAGAGAAGGGATAGAGAAAAGATGAACTCACCCTTCCAGAGTATGACCCTAATGACCCACCTCCTTCCATCAGGCTCCACCAGCCCACAATTACCCATTCAAATTTGGATGTTCACTTTCAAACATTCTTGCATTAACTCAGGAGCTTTTGAGGTACACCTCATATCCAAACCATAACAATTGCTAATTTGAATTTTATTGATATGGGTAGAGTTTTAATTACTTGTTTGAGAATGTGACTTATGCTCAACTTTCTAGTTCTGTAACAATGAAAATGCTATTGATTGTCGGTTTTATTACTAAGCATGATAAAAATGACATAAAACTGCATCTAAGTCTGATCTATAAATGAACTATATACACCTAATGTGGACACCACATCTTGGGGCTTCTCTGAGTACAGTAATTTATAATTAGGCATGGCCCTTGAAGGGACCCCAGAAGCTTTGTCTATGGAATTATGAGAAAGATTAGATCCTCTGGAGAAGGTGGCTTAAAAGCAACTCTTCAAAATATAATACACATGTCATAAAATTTACCCTTAAAAAGTATTCAATTTAACAGTTTTAGTATATTTACAAGGTGTCTACAACCATTGGCAATTCCAGATCATTTTCAGCACTCCTAAAAGAAACCCTGTTCCTATTAGCAGTCCCTAATGTCAAAGAGATCCTTACACCCATTTAATATGAATCCTTTTTCCTCATTCTTGAGATGTCACCACTGGGAGGCTTAAGAGGCTAGTTCCTAAACAATGGTGTAGGCCAGGAACTGCATCAATGGGTCTATGAGGCCAGATTATTCTTTGTTGTGGGAGGCTTATCTGCATTTAATTTGTAAGTTTAACTGCAATCATAAACAGTTTTATTTTATAATTTTTAATATAATTAAATAATATAAAAAATGAAGGCAACACTGGGATTCTTAAGAACATTTTGCCCTTAAAAAAGGAATTGATCTGAGTGTTACCCAGGTTAAGCAATGCCAAGTGAGGCTGAGAATCATGAGTATCAAACCAAGCAAGTCACTATGATGCGTAAACCTGAAGCCTAAAAAAAGGGTCCTCGTCAATAAAAAACATCAGACCTACCCATCAGTACTAATATTAATCGAAACCTGATGTAGTATTAGATATTATACCAATATCAAGTGCTTATATGTATACTTTATTTCTGTAGTTCAGAATTTTTTGTTATTTTTTTAAAGTCATATAACCCCATTCTATTGATAGCTGCTATCAATACAGTAGTAATAATTGTAAAGAAAACACTGGAAATGACAGATTTAGAGTTAAGAAGTATTAAGTCTGAGTCTTTGAAATGACCCTCTGGCTAAGATATTACCTAGTTCACTTGAGTTCTACTTTCCTCATCTATGAAATGAAAGCAAGATAGCAACTAACCTCAGTTTATCATGTTAAGAGAAATGATACATGTAATGGTAAAGTGATTAATTAAAATTTCATTAGTATTATACTTACCTTGGTCAATTTGCTCAAATCAGAATGATCTTTGGGCAGTTCTACTGCATGAACAATTGATGTTTTGATGTTTTGATGAATCCTTTCTACTTCACTGAAAGCCAGAGACTGATGAGGCAAGGCACTCCAGGACATGTTTTCAACATGTGACAAAGAATTTAAAAGAAGCCCATAGATAACTTGCCGGATGGGCTGAGATATTTTGTGGGCATTTGGTCGCTGCATGTTTTCTACCTGTGTTTGAAGAATGGTCCGTCTTAGCACCAGAGCATCACTGATGAAAGGAGACAGCTGGCCTTTGGATAAAGCCACTAGTACCCATTCTGGTAAACCGAGATTCAAGGCATCTGGACAAACATAAGTACCATTTTGGAAGAAGTCCTGCAACTTCACCTGGGACTGCTGGTATTCCTCCATGGAACAACAGAGAAGTTCCTTAACATTTTCTCGATCCTTTTTTGGGAGGTATTTCAGAACATTATCTAGTGCTTCGGTAGGGTCAGCAAAATGAGACAACCAGTTCAGAAGTCCCAGAACTCGGTGGTGTCTCCTTCCCTTAGAACTAGTAACTCTAAGAGGAAGGCGTACTTTACTTAAGAATGTCTCTATGATGGGCAGATTAATATGGTCATTCCCACACAGTACTGCGAAGAGAGGTAGTAGAGCTTTGTTCATATTGCTGAAGTAATGGCAGAGTGCATCAAGGGAAAAGCATTTGGCAGGAATATAGTAGTTTTGTGTGCCCTTAATAGTGTTCACATTTCTCCACTGGAAGCCATTCAATGGACAAAACCCTGTTTTCAGGTCAAAAATGCAAAAGTCACTATCTGATGATAACACAGGGCAATTCCAATGATTGGCAAGTGTCATAATATCCCGATCTGCTTCTGAAAAGCACTGGACAAAACATACTTGCAGCTTGATCAAAACCTGTAGGAATACTTCACGGATGAGTAAGGGACACACACACCCACCCCCACCAATTGATAGGGAATGGGCCATCTGAATCTTCTCTCTAGCTCGATCCTTTAAAGTTATAAGCTTTTTATCTGAAATGTCACATCCTCCATCTAATACAACATACGGGCATATATTACAAGCAAACAGTGATTCAAAGAAGTTTTCTACAACCTCTGCAAAAGAATCATAGTCCCCTCCATACCGAAGCTCCAAATTTGAATTGAAGCAAAGTCGGTGGAAAAGAGCATAGCCATCAATGATAATTTTTGTGTCCCGCAACTTCAAATCAGTGAAGAACTCATTACTGTGATCTTCCACGAAACTCATTAGTCCTCGGATACCCATGATGACAGCCTGAAGAACTGCCTGTTTAAAACAATGGAACACATTTTCAAATCATGGCTCTCAGCCCCATTAAATCAATAAGTAGCAAATGTTATAAAGTGTTCTTTAGATGGAACATGTTGGTAGTCACCATCTCTGAATTCTTACCTAGATCCTCAGGCAATATTAGCTGAGCACTTTTGTTTTCCTGTGTGAGATAAGGCACAATTCAATGATTCCATGGGTTTTAATCTTTGGACAGAGAGAGAGACTGCTGATGATTCTAAAGGAAAATCATGTAAAATCCATTATGGATACACCAGAATGTAAGTTCTATGGACTTTTGTGGGGCAAAATAAAAAGTGCTAAGCTACAAAAATGATATCCTTATCAATCTCATAAAAATAATCAGAAAGCACTGGATTTCAGTAAACTCAAGTGTGCAGGACCCATGATAGTCATCTAGTTTTTCTTTTTTATTGATAATCAGCATTTAGGAACTTCTTTCAGGTCCTGGGCTTGTGGGCCCTTCTAAATTGGTAAGGAAAACTACTGCTTCCTGTCTCTAGGAATCCAACTACCAGATCATTCCATCTGGAAACTCTTTTTTATCTTATCATGCATATATCTGAAGCAGTTTATCTTCCCTACTTGGGTAACAACTTACAGAATTAGTATTACTGTTTGTTTTCTTTTAGTTTCAGGGTTCACTATGGCTCAGTATGGTATTATGACCAATCCTGCCTTTATTTAAAACCCTGCATTTTGTCAACAATGCATTTTGGTTTTTAGAGATACTGCATTAAAGTTTATTTATTATCTTGATCACTGAATTTTTTTGACATCCACTTATATTTTGCCCTTGACTCACCTCAGCCTAGTCCCAGTCTTGTTCATTTCTCAGCACCTCATCCTATATAGTTCCAGTTTCTTTATAGTCTGTCGTGTAAAGCGTCTGCGAATACAGATCTTGTTGACTCGCTCTAAGCCCATTAGAGGGCCCTGCACGAAGTAGATGTTCAGCAAATGCCAACTGGGTAGCAAATGGTGCTTAAAAGGTCTAATTCCTCAAATACAGGCCTTGGTGCGCCGCGCCACCCCGGTCTTCACAACCTGCCTCGACCAGCAGCGGCGCCCACCTGCTGTGTCCTCGCAGAGGAGTAGCTCCTCCATCAGAATCCCGCAGGAGCCCAGGGAACTCGAAGCCCCCGCGTTAGGCAGTTTAACCCCAAGGCCGGCAACCGGAAGTCTCCGGTGTGGCGTCACCGGGAAGTCCAGTTCGGTGAAGACCAGGGTGCCAGACTGGGCGGTGGGGAGGCGAAGGAGCTTCTCGGGCCTCAGAGATGCTCAATTGCTAAAGAAGGTTGGGACGTATGTTTAGAAACGGCTGCTGTTTAGCTGGGAAGCTCGGCAAACAGGTCTTCCCCGAACCCCACACACACCTATTTGGGTCCGCGAGCACTTCCGCCTGGGTGAAAGCCTCGCCCCGACTTCCCAGCATGCCCCGCGCCGTCTCCTTGGCGACCGCGCCAAACAGCTGTAGCCTCGGTGCTCCGGAGCACGGCGGGGTACCGCTGCCCCTAAATTGAGGCCCGCCGAGTTACTGGCGGGACTCTGGCATGCCGCCGGGGCCGCCGCTCCTCCGCCCGCGGCGGCGAAAGGTAATGCGAATTGCGCTCCTCGCAGCGTGCCCCTCTCCCCCTCGCGGGGAAGGTTGTGACTTCGAGCTGCCGCGGGCAGGGTCCTGCTTCTCTAGGCCTCTCTCCTCGCTTCTTCTCATTATCGTCGACTCGTCACCTCCCGGATCTCTTAGTCTCGGGAAAATAAGAGTATCTGTTGCCCCTCGATGTGGCCTAATCAGCTTTGAGAATTGTTTTACTTCAAAGTTGAAGTTTACCTTTAAGGATAGTTAGACGTCTAGTTTAGCAGAATCTGGTGTCAAATCTCCTTCCTCGAGTTTATTACCAGGGAACAAGTTTATTACTTTGTTTCAGCAAGTGGTAAACACTCACCTTTCCTTTGTTTTTGCTCCAGGGAGATTCTTTTTACTTCCCGTGGATAATTTGCATAAGAAGATAATCTCTCCCCTTTCTAGGTTCTCATCCATCTTTTCATTTGTCCCCTCTTCCCCCTCCCCCACACTTTGGGCAGCAGTTAGTCTGTTGGACACTATTTTGCCCTCATAACATTCTAGTATATGTCAGATGTTGTGCCAAGTCCTGGGGATACAAAGGTTTCTTCTTGCGCTCAGGGGTTAGGGGTGTTGATGAGAGAACAGGTAGATCAAGTGAACTGTAAATCTAAAAGCTGGTACATTACTGGGTAGACTTACAGGGGAGACCAGGGGAAGGGATGGGCTACACGTGCACTGGGATGACCCAGGGTGGCAGGGCTGATGTGAGGTTGGGCTGCAGGGACCCTAACCCCAGAGTACTCTGCAGCCCAGGACAGACTGCTTGCACGCTGCCAGGTTTAAACTCTTCTTTACAAATAAGAGCTCTGGATCTGAACCTCCCATATCTATTCTGCCCTCGAATTCTGTGCTTTACTAAGTGGAGACTTTAATCTCTCTAAAATAAGAATTACTGAGGGATCTGAAGCCCTGTTTTCAGTGGAAAAGGCTGAGAGTCCATACATTTTTCTGAACAGCTCAATTTGTCCAGAATACACTTTTATATGCTAGTGAGGAAAACAAAAGATACATTTAGAGATTAGAGGCCTGCTCTCCAGTTTTCCCTATTTTTTTAGCAGCAAATTTCACTAATATTTCTTTGAGGAGGGGCATTTCTCTAATCTCACTGGCATGGGGTGAAACAACTAATTAGTTTGAAAATAAAATGTAATAAATAAAATTTTAAGTAAATAAAATGTGATCAATGGATTTTTAAGTAATAAAATGTAATAAATGGATATTTACATGTTTATGTTCTCTTTTAAGAATATATGAGGTCATTTTTGTGGTTGATTGTCATTGTGGTTAACTGACACTACTATCACATAAAGACAACTGATCTTCATTATAAACAATAGATTTTTTAAAAAATATTTTTTAGTTGTTGATGGACCTTTATTTTATTTATATGTGTTGCTAAGAATCGAACTCAGTGCCTCACACATGCTAGGCAAGCGCTCTACCACTGAGCCACAACCCAGTCCCCCAAACAATAGCTTTTTGACTTACTACTTTGGAATTATTGAATATGAAAACCTAACTTCAAGGCATAGTCTTCAATTTAAAATCATTTTCATATAGATTTAAAACAAAAGCATAATTTTCATGATTACTAGCAAAACAGTTAACATTTTGATGAAATAAAAATGATTTTACTATGTACCTACTCATGAAATAGTCCTACTTCTCATAACTCTGCCATACATTTCATATGTCCTTGAGGAATTACAGATTTATCCATAGCACATTTATATTCAGCTAATATTAGAATATGATTTTAGTTTTGAAATACATGTGTATTCTAACCCAGAGAGATTACTCTCTACCCACAGTGTATAATAGAAGCTTCAGAAACTGGATCAGAATTTGCTTAACATGGGAAGAAATTCATTCTGAATTCTTATCCTTCCTCTCATCTATTATAATAAGTGGAAAAACTATGATTAAAATTTACAGGAAAAAAAACTAAACCAGTATTAAGCTATCTTCTTTAATTCTAACTCAGTATTTGTAAACCATAATAGACCTAAAGTGCAAAGAGAGTATTGCAAAATGTTGATGCAAGTGTGTAGATTTAAGGAATTGACAACTGTATTTGGATTTTTTTTTTTTTTGATGGTCCCAGAGATTTAACCCCAGGATACTCTATTACTGGGATAGATTCCCCAGCCTTATTATTTACTTATTGTACTGAGGATTGAACCCAAGGGCACTTTACCACTGAGCCACATCCTCAGCTCTCCTTATTTTTAAATTTGAGACAGGGTCTTACAAAGGCTGGCATCAAATTTGCGATCCTTCTGCCTCAATCTCTGGAATCACTGGGAGTACAGATGTATGTCTGATTCCCAGGCCATCATTTTTCATGGTTTCCTTTCTGTTCCTCCTCTCCTCTCTCTCCTCTCCCTCTCCCTCTCCCTCTCCCTCTCCCTCTCTCCCTCTCTCCCTCTCTCCCTCTCTCCCTCTCCCCTTCTTTTGGGGTTTGAATCCAAGGGGTACCTTACCACTGAGCTTCATCCCCTGCCCTTTTTATTTTTATTTTAAAACATTTTTAAAATAAGGGATCCTTCACAAATTTCCATGTCATCTTTGCTCAGGTACCATGCTAATCTTTTCTGTATTGTTCCAATTTTTGTATATACCCTTATTATTTATAATTTTATTAAGGATTTTGCTAAGTTGCTTAGGATCTTTCCAAATTGCCTGGACTGGCCTCTAATTTGAAATTCTTCTGCCTCAGCCTCCTGAGTAGCTGGGATTACAGGTGTGTACCACCAGATGGGCTGGATAGCCTTTTGTTTGTTTGTTTTTAGTTTTGACAAATTTGGATGTACTAAGATAGACTCTCTTACCATGAAAGATTGCCTTGTCCTGGAATTTGAAGCTTCTACCTTTTTTCATTCCTTTGAAATCATTAAAACTAACCAATAAGCAATCAGTCTGTTAATCAAGGTGCAGTTCTCACTGTCTAATACTTATATATTCTGTAGGAGTCTTAGCATCTTTTAGACCTGATGTGTGGATTTTTCACATTTCAGGCATTGACCAACATTTGCTGGATGAATTGGATCATCTATTAGGAGACTTGTTTGTTAAGTTTCTATAAATGAACAGACCAGTACTATCTTGTTTGGAGCGATGTTGAAATTCCAAGAGGCAGCTAAGTGTATGTGTGCATCAACAGCTGTTTCCACTAATCCAGAGACCTTGATTGCAAGAAGATATGTGCTTCAGCAGAAACTTGGAAGTGGAAGTTTTGGAACTGTCTATCTGGTTTCAGATAGGAAAGCCAAAAGAGGAGAGGAATTGTAAGTAAAATGCTTCATACTGACCTTGGCTCCCTGTATGTGCAACAACTGGCTGATTAAGAACATTGGATATCCTTGAACCTGTTTTTTTTTTTGTTTTGTTTTGTTTTGTTTTGTTTTTTTTTTTTTTTGCATTAAAGCAAGAAGCTACTAAAGCTATTCCTTCATTTATCTCTTCAGATGTTTTTTTTTTTTCTTTTGTGGTCTTGGGAATTGAACTCAGGGCCTCATGCATGCCAGGCAAGTGCTCTGCCACTCAGTTATACCCCAGCCCCAGATAAGATTCTTAAAGGCATTTCAGTTGTGAATAAAGTATCCAAAAAACCTAAAGAAGGTAAATGGGGTAGATCATATGATAATTTTTTAGTATACCACAGTCCCAATTACAATATTGCTTTCACTTAACTTGATTGTAACTTCTTGAAAAAGAAAAAGAAGTAATGTTTATGACTGCACTTTTAGAAGTGTTATGAAATATAAATAAGCAGTAATTCACATTTGAGGTGAAAATGATGTACTAAAGGAAACATGGCATTAATTTTATTTGGCTTTTCTCTAAAAGAAATTTTCAAAATCTGTGCTCAAAAAGCCCTCAGACTAGATATTTAAACCAAATTCAGTCTTTGTTTAAAATTAGCTTATGTTAATGACTTCCTTGTAAATTGCTTTTTTTTTGGTTTTGACCCCATAACTCCCAGAGAAAAATGTAATAATACTTTTTGGATAGTACATTTCTTCTGGATGAGGATACACTTTCATTTTTAGCTTAAAGCTTTTTTTTTTAATTTTGGCAGTGAAAGTTGGAACTGAAGTTAGGATAAGAAACTTGCAAGTAGAAACAGGAGCAGAGAAAGCAGAAGCAAAATGATCCAAGAAATCAGCCCTTAGCCCTAGAAGACCAGATTTCCATCCCATAGTCTATTCTTTTATTCAGAAGTTTTTTAGATACTCTTGAGTTATTCCAGCTTTTTCTCATTGGATATTTAAGTGCAGATTTAAAGTTAGTGTGTGATAAATACTTTTCTACTTTTTCATATTAATAGAAATTACAAAAGCAAGTGTCACTAATGCTACTACTTTATTTTAAAGATCAACCTTTAAAGTACTTTGTGTAGAATTTTTAAAAGTTGTAATTTTAAATAGTTTTCAATAAATTTCTACATGAAGAATTGTGAAAGAGCTGGAATTTTACTGATATTCTTAGAAAACATGCATTATGACTCCTGCCCCCCAAAGGATTTTTCCCCTCTAATCTAGAGGTGCTCTTCTAGCATCACAGAGTAGGATGATGAATATTTGGCAATTATTAGAGAGCCTTCAGCATTGAGCATAAGACCTAATTTTGGCCGAGGACTTATAAAAACCACACTTTGGACCATGTCAAATTTGAGTTTTTTCAACTAATGAGACAGATGAGGAATTTAAAGAGAATTCACAGAAAGGCTAAAATGTTGATTAAAAGGAGCTAAAATAAAATGTGTGAAAACCGATCTTGAAAGCTCTGGACTTGAGATTAATGAGTGTAGAGTGTGTGGGGGTGGGTATGGGTATGTGAGGCTGTCCATAGGGGGAAAGAAAGTAAGAAAAGGTGGGGGGTCTGGGACTGGTTGGCTGATAATGATTTATAAGTAAATTTTCTTATATTGGAAATAATCTTAAAACACATGATTTGAGCTGAAGATGACAGACAAATCCTAGTGTTGTGGAATGAATCCAATGGTGAGAATAATGGTCAAATCATTTGGCACTAAAAGGTCTAGTCTAGGATTATTTGGAAAAGGAATCATTCATCATCTAAAATAAATTACATACTGGTCGCATGCAGCCTTCAGGTGTGTTTTGTTTGGTCTGCATAGAATTTCTTTTTAATCTTAAATTAGTTGCTAGTATTTTCAAATGGGCAGCTCTCAAAAATTGAGCATTTCATCTCCTTTAGAAGAATAAAACAAAAAGATTGAGTAACATTTGCTAAAATCTGTGCCTTCGTAGCCACAGTGGACTGGACCTGGCTAGCAATGACTCCCTTTGGACAAATTCTTTGTTATCTGATTAGCCACATTCCTGCTCCTGTTCATGCCCCTTAGGCCTAACTGCATCTTACCTTTCCACTATCTGCTGATTTTTTTTTTTTCTGGAAATTTACTAAACCCGGAAAGAAAACGGATATGACTGCTCATGAAGTCCTAGAATGCTAGAAAGAGGGCACTACAGTGTCATCATTAAGACCATGGCTCAGAAGCTGAAGAAGCCAAAGAGTAAAGCATACATGGTTCCTAATCTGAACTTTACTATGCTCTCTGTAACATGGTATAATATCTCATAAGACTGTAATAAGGATTAAATAATATGTCTACCTATTTTTATAAGATGAAGCTATCATATGGCCTTACAGAGAATTATCACTCAGTAACAACTGAAATTCACCTTAATTATAAACAAGCCAAGTCAATAAAATAATTAAAGTAAGTCTAATCAAACTTTAGCCAATCTACCCAGTGACTGCTTTTAGAATCCTCTACTAAATGGAAGTTTTTCTTTTGCACTCTGCTTTTGAGAAACAAATCTTCCAAAGTAATTTGCTATTAGGCATGTGATTTTAAAAACTTCTTCAAGGATTTTTTTCGATATTATAATAATTCTGTTGTCATTTACTCTTTTACATCTCTAAAACTTATAAAAGAAAATTTACAATCAAAATATTGCAGTTTCTCATTATGCCACTTGGGGGCACCACTCTATCATTGATATTTTGTGTATACTGTGATCTTTAGTTACATTCTTTTAAATTTTTATTGACTTCCAGATTAGCTATGGGATAAAAATAAAAGCCACACACATTACACTTGATTATTGCATGTTTGGAGAGAGTTTTCTTTTGGTATAAATATCTGGAATTCCTTTTTTATTATCTCAGTAGAATAAAATTAAATTGTTAAATTGAGTAGTGAATGGGATAGAGGTTTTTCCTTTATTGTGTTTTACATTTTGAAACTTAAAAAGCAACTTTGGGGATTTTAAAAAATAAGTATAGCTACTCTGGTCTAATTAATGTAATTATATTGTATTCCTAAAAAATTTTTTCTAGTTTTAGTTCATAATTTCATCTTATATTTTTGTTAAGATGTCAAAGTATGTTTTCTATTTTGCAAACCCAAATGATTTTTTAATTGACACACAAGTATTGTACATATTTATGGGATACTATGTGCTATTTTTATACACATATACATACACACACACATACACACACTTGTATATATAATATAATGTTCAAATCAGGGCAAGTATGTCTCTTTCCTCAAACATCACTTCTATGCCATGAAACCATTAAAAATCTTGTCTTTTAGCTTTTAAAAAATATACAGTACATTATTATTATCTATAGTCACACTACTGTGAAATAGAACATAGAACTTATTTCTCACATTTAACTATACCTTAGTATCCATTAACCAACCTTTTCCCATACATTCTACAGCCTTTGGTAACCATTATTTAAATTCTACTTATGTGAGATAAATTTCTTTAGACGTATGAGTGATGTTATGTGGTATTTGTCTTTCTATGTCTGGCTTATTTCACTTAAGAAAGTATTTTCCTGCTTATCCATGTTGTTATAAATGATAGAATTTCATTATTTTTATGTCTAGATAGTATTTCATTGTGTAAATGTACCAAACTTTCTTTATCCATTCATCAGTTGATGGGATACTTAGTTTTATTACATTTCTTGGCTGTTGTGAATAGTGCTTCAATAAACAAAGATGTCTAGTTTACATAGTAATTTCATTTGCTTTGAATATATGATCAGTAGTGTGATTGCTGGATCATATGGTCATTTTATTTTTAATTTTCTGAGGAACCACCCTATTGTTTTCCATAATTGCTGTACTAATTTACATTCCTTCAAATGGTGTGCAGAGGTTCTCTTTTTTTCTACGTCCTTGTTATCTTTAATCTTTTTGGTAATAGCCATTGTAACTGGAATGAGGTGCTATCTCATTGTGGTTTTGATTTGCATTTCCCTGATGATTAATGATGTTATGTATTTTTCATCTATCTGTAGGTTGTTTCTGTCTTCTTTTGAGAAATGTCTCTTTAGGTCTATTGCCCATTTTTAAATCAGATTATGCGTTTTACTATTTTTCTTTTTTCTGTTAAGTTTCTTATATATTCTCAATGTTAACTCTTCTCTGTCTTTTTTTTTTTTAATGCACGACAGCAGTGGAAAGCATTACAATTCTTATTACACATATAGGGCACAGTTTATCTTATCTCTTTATATAAAGTATGTTCACGCCAATTTATGCCTTTATACATGTACTTTGTTGTTGTTTTGCATTACAATTCTTAATACACATATATCACAATTTTTTGTATGTCTGTTTGCATATAAAGTATGTTAACACCCAATTCAAGTCTTCATATATGTACTTTGTATAATGATGTCCATCACATTCTACCGTCCTTGTTAATCCTCTGCCCCCTCTCTTTCCCTCCCACCCCTCTTCCCTATATAGAATTAATCTATTCCTCCCATGTTTCTCCTCCCTACCCCAGTATGAGACAACCTCCTTATATCAGAGAAAACATTCAGCATTTGTTTTTTTGGGGATTGGCTGACTTCACTTAGCATTATTTCCTCCAATGTCATCCATTTACCTGCAAATGCCATGATTTTGTTCTTTTTTAATGCTGAGTAAAATTCAATTGTGTATATATGTCACATTTTTTTTTTATCCACTCATCCACTGAAGGACATCTAGGTTGGCTCTACAATTTAGTTATTGTGAATTGTGCTGCTATAACCACTGATGTGGCTGTGTACCTGTAGTATGCTGTTTTTAAGTCCTTTTCATATAAACAGAGGAGAAGGATAGCTGGGTCAAATGGTGGTTCCAAGATCATATGATTCCATATTTCCAAGGAATCTGCATATTGCTTTCCAAATTGGCTGCACCAATTTGCAGTCCCACCAGCAGTGATGAGTGTACCTTTTC